TGCCGTCTGGCATGTACACAGGCCCGCCGCCGCCCATAGCTGCCGCAAAGAAACTACCAAAGCTCTTTTGCAGGTTCTCCTTACCTTCGGTTGCCATCATCTCCTTGAGGTCGGCGTCGCCCTCGAGCATCTGCTCAAAAAAACCGCCCTCAGTGAACACGTCGGCCATCATGCCATCGAGGTCGAGATCGGCCACCTCGACTGAGCCTGTCGCATCAAACACCCGACGCTTCTCGGCATCCGATAGAACGGCATAGGCTTCGGCAACAACTCGGAACTCAGCGGCGCTGCCCCCCTTGTCTGGATGGTGCTTGAGCGCCAGTTTGCGGTAGGCCTTGCTAATAGCCTCCGGGGACGCGTCAGTGGGCACACCGAGGACCTCGTAAGGTTGCGGCATTTATCACCTCGCAGTTTTCCGCGCTAACCAGAAATGGAAAAGTGCGGATGACTCTTGATATGTGCGTCATCTCTTTACGTTTGAGTTTTAGGAACCAATGGATGAAACCAATTTGCGCCGGTGCCGCGACGGCGATTCCATGCAGGCTTCCCACCTCCGCACCTTCCGGCGAGTCGCGACGCCGGCTTCGCGCCTACTCGTACTACGCCCGCTAGCCTCTCCGTCACGCTGCACATCTGGCGGGAGCTCCTCGTCATTCACAGACATCAATGAGCAGAGCTGGGTGCATCGAGTCCTGCCCACCGCGGCCGTGCCCTACGCCGCCCTTGGACGCTGGGACCGGCCGATCGGCACGTGGCTGCTGCTCTGGCCGTGCCTGTGGAGTACATCGCTCGCCGCACCGGCTGGTGCCTTACCCGACGTGTCGCTCTTCGCTCTCTTCGGCTTGGGCGCCTTTGCAATGCGCGGCGCCGGCTGCACTGTAAATGACCTTTGGGACCGCGACATCGATCGACAAGTGGAGCGCACGCGCACGCGCCCGCTCGCCTCCGGCGCCCTCGGTGTGCCGCAGGCGATCGGGTTTCTCGGCGCACAGTGCAGCGTCGGCCTGGGCGTCTTGCTCGCGCTACCACCGTACGCTGTCGCATTGAGCTTCCTAAGCGTGCCCCTCGTTGGACTCTACCCTCTCGCGAAGCGGGTCACCAACTGGCCGCAGGCGGTGCTCGGCCTGACATTCAATTGGGGTGCGCTCGTGGGCTGGGCCGCCGTCCATGGGTCATGCGACTGGTCGGTCGTGCTTCCGCTCTATGCAGGCGGCTTCTGGTGGACGTTGCTCTATGATACCATCTACGCCCACCAGGACAAGCACGACGACGCCAAGATCGGCATCGGCTCGACCGCTTTGGGCCTCGGGGACGGTGCGGACGCTCGCCGTTGGCTCGCCGCCTTTGGCGTGGCGTGCACGGCCTCCCTCGGACTCGCTGGCGCAGCTGCCGGGCTACATCCAGCCTTCTACGTGGGCATCGCGGGCGGCGCGGCGCACATGGGCTGGCAGGTGGCGACAGTCGACCTCGGCTCTCGCGAGGACTGCCTGCGCAAGTTCAAGTCGAACAACGCCATGGGTCTGCTCGTGCTTGCGGGCATAGTCGCGGGAAAGCTACTACTCGATCGGGTGGACGAGGAGGGACCTGAGGTGCGCGTGAAGGATCTCATCACTGACGGCGACGCGGGCCCTGCGCCCGAGAGCAAGGCCAAGAGTCGCGTCATCTGGCTGCTTTGGCCGCCACCGACAGCCTGATTTGAACGTTTCAAATGCACGGGATGACGTCATTTAGGAACCCAAGCCCAGTGACTTTCGTCTATGAAAGTCTATGACGAGGGCCGTCGTGGGTGCTCGGCTGCTCCGCTGCACTGTCCGGGTAGGACGGGTCCGCCCCGCGGCCCGAGCCGTCGCGCGCCGGCGCGCCGCCCGACCGGGCGGCGCCCACCGCGGACGGCCCGGCCTGTGTGCGCGGCTTCGGCCATCGGCCCGTATAACCGGCCGCTCGGTGTCGGTCGGTCACGTGGTGCACGCGACCTCTGAGAGGGCGAGTATCTCGATTGTATGTTGTCACCAAGAATGCTGAATGTAACCGCCGTGCGTACGAATGATGCGGGCGCTACGGATAAAAGAGCCTGGCGCCCCGCCGGGGGGCACACGACGGCATGCACACGCACACGTGACACGACCGCTCGATCGGGATCGCATTTTGAACCGTGGACCAGAACAGCGTAGGGACCCTAAGCCGACGCTCAACGGCTACATCCGGACATGAACTCCCTGCACCAGCCCCGGCGTTTAGACTCATTCATCCTTCTTGGATTTGGTCGGCGTCGGGGGGGGCGACCCGATGGCCGGCTGTCGACGCAAGTCAGCCAAGTCTGACTTTGCACGATGACCCACCAGGAGCAACGCCATGAGACCGATCGAAAAGACTACGCTGGCGAGCGGTGACAGTGCTTGTTCTGCAGAAGAGACGTTGGAGTGCATCGACCAGTGCAGCGACTTTCCTCCATGCGGTATTGGGTGGGCATAGTGCACATCGATGGCAAAATTGGCCAGTGCGATGCAGACTGCGAGCACGTGTGCGTAACTCTTGGACGACTTCTCGGCCTTAGGGAGCACGAATAGCTGCCATACTGCTGATATGGCGACAGCGCCGAATACACACAGCGCTAGCCAAATAGGGTACGCTCGCTCGCATGGTGGCATCATGCACCCCATGAGCGTGCCTCCAGGATTGCCGAGGTAAGCAAGGCGGCTGAATATGATGACTTGAATTGCAGCACACGCGACTTCAGCCACCAGTATGCGCTGCACCTTTGCGCGAAGCACAAGAACCCTCTGCAAGTGGTCGGCCACACCCATCTTCAGTGGCTGCAGCAAGATGTGTCCGAGGGTGTGCTGTCGAGACTTTTTGCGCGAAGGCCGTTTCATCAATTAATAATTTTGGGGGTCAAACCGTATACATAAACAGTTTGTTGCGAATCAAGAAGTTGAATGTCTCACCAGCAAAGCCACCCACTCAACTATTGCGAATGAAAGTGTCGTGCGCGTCGAGTTGAACAGTTCGTGCGTTCTCATCTCAACCGCGTGGTGGAGTGGCGACGCAATCGTCAAAGCGGCATCGCCCCACAAGGTTGAGCGCCACCCGCGCGCACGTCCGGGGCTTGCGGGTGTGTGTGCCTGGCGGAGAGGGCACTCAATCGGAACGGAACGGGCGGCCCACAATCGATAGCCGCGTTCTCCTCACTCGGGCCGATGTCGAGGCTTCGAGCATGCCGAGCCTCCGATTTCACGCCTCGGGTGCAACTCGCCATCCTTATTGCCTGGGTTCTGTTTGCCAACCACTGGGCTAGGGATAGCCTTGGCGCGCTCGAGCTGCCACTCGAATCACCCTCGGATGGCTACCGCCTTTCACCCAAGGAGTACAACGGCCTCTCAACAGCGTACTTCTTGCCCAACTGTATCGTCCCACTCATCGGTGGCGTACTCGCGCAGCGCGGCAACGCTGGCGGCATTTATGTCAGGTTCTTGTGCATACTCTTGCTCGGCTGCGTGCTGGTTGGTGCAAGTGCTCTAGTCGCCCATGCGACATTCGGCTGCGATGGTGCATGTTCCAAAGTGCCGTACGCGTTGCTCCTGGCCGGCCGCACGCTCATGGGCGTTTCTTATGAGGCGACGGACATGATCGGGCCGATCACCTCTCTGCAGCCACGCTTTGCAGACGTATGGGCTACGCTGGTGTCCATCATCAACGGGATTAATCGACTCGGCTCAGTGCTCAATTTCCTCATCGAGCCGCTGCTCTATGACGCGTTTGGACTGCGAGGCGCTCTGCTCGTTCCGTCAGCGCTGGGTGCGTCCACTGTGCTGGCCGGCATGGCTGCAAGGCGAATCCACGAGCGATATCCGCTCGATGCGCCTGGCAGCGCCGAGACCTCCGCCTCAACTGGGGTCGAATTAACATCCTCGAAGCAGATGGTGGCAGACGGCGAAACGGCTGAGAGCGACGATGTGGAAGCGGCGGCCTCACCCGCGTACGCCGTCAGCGAGGGCGGAGGCGTGCTCTCGCAGCTCGCTCGACTCTTCGGAGTCACCGTGCAGGACCTCAGGCAGGGACTAGGACTGCGTTTTTGGCTCTTTCTCGGAGGAGCAGCATGCACTTACGGAGCGGTGGTCCCGTTCTGGTTCATCGGCGCGAAGCACATCTCTGTAGCTTGGGGCTATTCGCTCACCGCGGCGGACGTGATGATGCTCTTCCCTGAGGGCCTCATAGGGATCATCGGTCCGGTGCTCGGCTGCATCGTCGACCGTTATCAATGGCGCCTCTCCACACGATTGCTCGTGTCCTCAGTTTCGCTTGGACTAGTGGCTTGCGCGTTGCTTCTGCTCGCATGGGCGCCTCGCATCGTGCCACCCTTGCCGCTCGTCCTGTTGCTTGGACTCGGCTATGCATTCGCACAGAATCTGATCTGGATGACCTTCCCCTCTCTCGCTCCGGCTTCCATGCTCAACCTGATAGGCGGCTTGCTAGGCTCGAGTTTGAATGTGGCGCCGACGGTGCTCCCGGTGCTCGTTCTGAGCGGCGTGGACTTGTCTCGCGACTTGGCATGCCTCGGTGCGGTTGGGGTCTTCGGCGCCGCGCTGTACTTGGTCGCGGCTGCGCAGGAGTGCTGCACGAGCGCTGTCGCGAGCTCCTCGAGAGGGATGGACGGTGGGCCGTCCGACGAGGTTTCCAGCGCCTCTACCGAAGGCCGCCGCAGGGGCGTGGGAGGCAAACGGCGCGACTACTCAGTGCGCCGTGTCAAGACCACCACTGACCGCGAGTCCGTGCTGACCCTGGTGCAAAATGGATCCGACTCGTCCGCGGTGCCCGTGTGACGGGTCCCGCGGTTGCCATGGGCCCGACCCTTCTTGTTTTATCCGCGAACTCGCCCAGAAATAGTAAATAGTGGACATAGATCTAATTGTGGGCAACCTTACTCTCAAACAGAACGGGCATGGCTTCGTCAAGTTTTCGCCAGTTTTTTCGCACCTCGACCGGAGATCGAAGCTCCGCGAAAAAACAGTGCTGCAATCCTACCCCGACGACCAGTCGAAAGCCATGATGTTCCCTGTGACTGCTGGCCAATTCGACCTCGTGTACAACGCCCTCTCGTTCACGCTTGCATCGATGATGGCCTCCACCATCTTCTTCTGGATCCGCATGGGCTCGGTGAGCGAGAAGTACAAGTCGGCCATGACCATCACGTAAAAGCGCACCCCAAAACGGTCCACACTTCACCCGATCTCGCACTGACCTGTTTGTGCATGACTCGCGCGTGGTTCCTCGTGCAGGGGTCTGGTCACCTTCATTGCCGCCTACCACTACATCCGCATCTTCAACTCGTGGAATGAGTCCTACCATTACCCAGAGGCTGCCGATGGCGTCGTCCAGGACCCGGTGATCACCGGCCAGCCGTTCAACGACGCGTACCGGTACATGGACTGGATGCTCACCGTGCCGCTCCTCATGATTGAGATCATCTTCGTCATGGGGCTCTCACCCGAGGAAACCGCGGCGAAGGCGACCTCCCTCGGCGTTGCCGCCGGCCTCATGATTGTCCTCGGCTACCCCGGCGAGCTCATCATCGAGGGCGACCTCAACGTCCGCTGGATGTGGTGGACCCTCGCGATGATCCCCTTCCTGTACGTTGTGCACACCCTCCTCATCGGCCTGCAGGGTGCTATCAAAGAGGAGAAAAACGAGGAGGTCGCCAAGAAGCTCAACATGGTCTGCTGGGCGACCGTGGTCTCGTGGTGCACGTACCCGATCGTGTACGTCTTCCCGATGCTCGGCCTGGATGGCCCCAGCGCGGTCGTCGCCATCCAGCTCGGCTACTGCGTGTCCGACATCATCTCCAAGTGCGGCGTTGGCTTCCTCATCTACAACATCACGATCGCCAAATCAAACCCCGAGGGCTACGCCCAGGTGCATTAAGGCTCTGCTCTAAGGCGTCCTCCCTCCCCTCGGGGCTTCGAGTCTCTTGTCGCGACGAAACGAAGCGTGTATCGATGAGTGCAAGAGGGGATGTGAGGTGGCGAACAGGTCTGGGCGCGACAAGAGCCGCTCAGGATCCTCGTGAAGCAGCCTGGGAGCAACGGGAAACTTGCGTCGTCCGTCGAATGACTCGATCTGGGCATCGTCCCCAAGTCGATTCGTCAAGCCGCAGCGGGTTCAGCTCGGGACAGATGCGTGTTGGAAGGGCGTGGGTCGCTCAGAAGCGGCCCGCGGCCCGCGGCCCGACCGGTACCGCAACGAGCGGCATGCCTTCGCTTGCGGTTTTACATTTTAGCTTGACGCAAGGTCGCAACGCCAACGGCCAACGCATTAGGCTCGGTATAAGGAATAAGCTATGTTCGGCATGCTTTATAAGCAAGGGCCAAGGTTATATCAGGGTATCTAACTTGTTCATGAGCCGCAACCCCATTTTTGGGTCCGGCTCTGAAAAGGTGCGAGAAGGATTAGTAAATAGAGCCTGGGCTGTTCACACTTAAGGGGTAGGTGTGAATGAGGGGTACCCCGAATGGTCCACAAGACGATCTCAGCGGCAAACGAGCTTCGGGCGCCGCCCCGAGCCCAAAGGTCTTCATCCAAACTTGTGGACCATTCGCGTTTGGCCGGAAAAGAGAACCACCCGCACACGACGCCCTGACCGTCTCGGGTGGCGAGTGGAAGCATTTTGCGTGGACACTGTGTGCGAGCCCTAGGGAGACAACGTGAGATGGGTTGATGGATGGGCCGTATTGCGTGAACGTGGACGGTTACGTCTTGATCGGCACTGGCGCCAAGGGGAGCACTTGCGCGTCGCACCGTGGATCTGCATGCTCTGCCTGCCTCTTTCCATGTGGTTCATTTGCAGGAATTCTTTCTCATTGTTGGCGTTGGATTCCGAAAGCTTGGGCCGCGTTCGTTAAGTGCCACTCCTGAGTACGTCATTTTGGCGGGCATTTGCTTTCCACGTGGTGAAGCGTGCGCGACATTCGGGTTGCTTACGCAGGAACTTGAACGCGTGGAGCCTCCAAGCCGAGCTTGGTGCGTGCGCACAGTGTTCGGCTTGGAGGCGCTTTGAAGTGTTCGGCTTTCACCGCCAGTTGGACGCGTCGCGTAGACTGGCACACGGCGTCATGCGCGCACGGCCGCTCCTGATGGCCGCAGGCAGCAATCAGGCGGCGGGCAAGCTGCCGGTCGCATGACACCGTCGTTACTCTACACCGTCGTCGTCACGCGACGGCGGCGTCGAGTGACTTCTTTTGCGTTCCCTCCGGGGGACGCGCCAATGGGCGCGTCTTCCGACAGTACTGACAACACCGCAGCCCGATCAAGGCTCGCGCCACCTGGAGAGCTAGGCCCCGCCTTACGGCGCCCGCGCCCGCCTGCCGCAAGCTCTACACTGCTGGAGAATTGCTGGAGGTAGGCTATCCCGCCAGCGCCGCCGGACCCGCCCGCCGAAAGTAGCCTACGCAGCCCGCATTCATCAGGCCGGCGGCCGCGGCCAATTCGGATGGGTGCTAGGCGGCTTGAGAGATCGACCCTGAAAATTTTTCGCCTGCGGCGGGCGGACTATTTACTAAAAAACACATCCGTTTCTTACACCTTTTGGGAGCCGGACCCTTTTTTCAGGAATCACCAGGTACGAAACCACACCTCGATCAGGATCATGCAGTGCGTTTTTGACCATTGACGGCACGGGCGCGCACCGCGGCGCCGCCGCAATACCAGTGGGGGTCCGGACTATTTCTTTGGGTCGGGTTCAACGCGCGTCGTCGGCGTGGACTGCTTAGCGCCCGGGATCCAGTCAAACCAGCCCTGCTGCTTGGGCGTCGGGCTATTCGGCTGCGTCGCGAGCAGGTGCTTAAGAAAGGCGCGGAAGGTTCGCATGTACGCGACCGAATGCACCGTCTCGAGGTTGTTGTGCGTCGCGCCGTCAATCCAGGCGGGCTACGCACGCACAGCACGGAGGAGCAAATCGCCGCGGTGAGCACGCCGCGTGAGCATGGTTGCGCTGGCGGGCGGCAGGCGCTTGGCTCACCGGCAGCGGATGATATTTGGAGGCGGCCGCGTGGAGGTCGTGGCCATTAGACAAGGGGATGACCTCGTCATGGGTTCCGTGGATGATTTGGTGCGGGCTCTTACTCGCGGCAAGCCGGCCGATGTTGTTGAAGTAGAGGATGTCCAACGGGTAAAGTTTGGTCGTCGGGAAGAGCACGCGCGAGCCAGAGGCGAGGCCTGAGACGAGCATGACGCCGCGAAAGCGGTGGCGGCCCGCGAGGTAGCTGGTGGGGCAAGTTCCGATAGACTTGCCGTAGAGCACGATGTCGCGCTCGGGTTTGAGCTTGAAGCCATCCACAAGCAGCTGCAGCGCGGCACGCGCGTCTGAGTACATGTTATCCTCCGACGGTGTGCCAGTCGAATGCCCGTAACCAGAGTACTCGTATGCGAAGACGTCGACCTGCAGCGCGTCTGACATGTAGCTCCAGAAGCCCAGCACGATGCCGAGGTCCTCCGCGTTCGCGTGCGATACAAGGATGGTCAGCGGGTGGCCCTTCCGAATGTGGAAGGCTGGCAGCCGGTTGCCCTTGTCGTTGTCGAGCCACATGTTGACGTCCTCCTTCCGGTAAGTTGCCGGTGGCGGGCAGAAGGCCATCTGATTGACAGTGCTCGAGGCGAAGTTGCCCATTGCTCACTTGTCTATTAGCACTCACCGTGCCGGCGACGAAGGGCCCGCCTCACCGCTCACGGCCGCTGACGCTCGCATCCAGTGCGAGCAGATGCGCTGTGAACTCGAGTATCCTATACACAACGCGCTTAGCACTTCGGACTTCCTGCACTGGAATTCAAACACAACGCGCGAAACCTCTGGACACCCACGCATTCTGAGGGCCCATTCTGAGCTTACGACCTCACAGGCCCTCCACATCACAGCGAGCGATTAAAACACTCCACCCGCTCCACGCAGCATGTTGGAGCCGATGAATCTGATGACGCCGGCGCGACCCGTCTCAGGCCATGCTACGCCCCCCGAGCGGACACCGACATCCCCATGACCGCTCCTCGGAAAAGCCCCGATCATTTCACACGTCCGTGCGCCCAAGCCTTGCTGCTCCGCGGCCGGTCGTCAGCCAGTGGCTGGCTCAGTGCACCCCCGATGCGCAGGTGGCTTAGTGCACCCACGCCATCTGAGCGCGCTGCGCCCAGCGTAGCTCGTCCCGACGATTCTCGGTGCACGGCACGTAGCGATTGGGGTGCATCGTCTTGGATCGTGGCTGTCGCGTCTTGCCGCCGGCGTCGGGGTCGGCACTGCGCATCATTTGGCGCGTCGCCCATACGAGGTCGTCGCGCCGCTTGGATGTGGGTACCACGTATGCGTTCGGGAGGCGGCGCGATGAGGAGAGCGTCGAGGGCGGCGCCGGCGACGACGTGACCGTCACGATGCGCGGCTTGCCGGTACCGAGGAAGGTGTCGGCGCGCCATTGATGCATCCGCTTTGCATGCATCGACACGGGATCCGACTTGGCCTTGCGGGGCGTGCTGCCATAGATCTGCGAGCCTAGGCCGCCGAAGAGTTGCGAGGACGCGTTGATTATCACTCCGCCGCCAACGAACCCGTCCACGCAGGCAGCCGGAGGCGGCGGCGGCGGCATGCTGCCTGTCAACGACACCCTGTCGAGCCCGAGCGACGCCCTCGCCGAAGTCGGCCGCGACGAGTGCAGCGTGCTGCCAAGGCTCGCGCCACCACCGGCGCCGGCGCCACGCGCAGAGTGCGGCCGCTGCTGCTCGCGTGCCGCCATAGCCGAGGCGCTCCGCAGCATCGACTTCCTGGCAGCTCCTGGGCTAGGCACCTTGGGGCGCATGGCGTCCCAGTGCGCGGGCTCGAACGCGGGAACGCTCGCCGGCTGCTCTCCCGTCGCATCCAGGGCCTCGTCTGCCGCGGCGAATGCGGAGCCGTCCGCTGCTTGCTCGCGTGCGATGCTTCCGTCGCCTGCTACCTCCTCCGCTGCGGCGGCGGCCAAAGACGCCGGACTCATTGGCGGAGGGCGCTTCTTTGGTGCGCTTTTCGCTGGCTTAGCGCTGGCACGGCCCTTGATGGCCTTGACCGACGATGGCTTGTTCGCCGGGAGAGCAGGGCGGGTGAGCGCCGGCACGCCCGCGGCCTCAGCGGTGCTCAGTGCCGTCGGATAGCTCAGCGGCGCATCCAGCTGGGCATCTGCCTCACCGGCCACGTCCATCTGCTCAAAGTCCTGCAGGAACTCGCGCAGGACGTTCTCGGGGATGGATGCACTATTGTAACCGAGAGCTTCGAGCTGCTCGCGCACCAGTTGCGCGTATTCGTCTTCGTCCCGCGCGCTCATCGTTAAAAACCCAGTGAGACTCTCCCTCCCGCCTTCACAGTCCGGGACTGACTCTTAACAATTGCCCAGTTCATCGGGCGACCGTGGAGTAACTGGACCGAGACGCCTCGATGACTGACAGCAATTGGGCTGGCCGCCCGACCCACGGCCCCCTTTCCACCGTAGGTCCCCTTCGCGATACGCGCCGAGTTGGCACGAGCGATGGCCGTCGGTGCGTCGAATGCAGCGTCGAAGGCGGCCACGTCGGCACAGCACCATGCGCCAAAGCATGCGGTTTGCGTGACAGGCTTGCAGCGCTCCTACCCGGAGATCAGCCACAACCTGCACTACTCGCTCTCGCACCTGTACTCTGGTTGGAGACACGGTGGTGATAGTACAGCTGCAGACATGGCAGCAGCACAGGCCAGTGAGCAGCAGCGCCTGCAGCAGCGGTCTGATGCGGTGCCACGGTCGAGGCGCTCGCTAACTGGCCACGGCGAGCACGGACGTGGCGGTTGGAGCCTTGGCCGCAACGTCGCCTTCTTTGGCGTCAGGCCTGCCAACGACTCGTGGGCGACAGTCCGTACTGACCTTCCTCCGCTCATTGGAGAGTCAATCCAGACGCCATGTGGACCATCAAGGCCTGCGTGGTTTTCTGCGTATGCTAAAACGAACGCGCAGCGGGTCACCTACGGTAACTCGTTCGTGCAGTCGCTCTGCGACCTTCGCGATTGCCTCCAGCTGGTTGAGGACAATGAGAGACGCGTTGGACGGCAGTTTCTGACGCTCGCGCGCTTGCGGCTCGACCTCGCTTGGGAGACACCGCTGACGATGCCGCAAGTCTTACAGCCCAATGTCGTCTACACGGCGCGTATGAACACCAAGGCGGGTGTCAACGACAAGTGGGCCATCGGCCGCCGTGCGCCGATGCTTGCGTACCTCACTCGCGTGCAGTTTATCGAGAAGGCTAACAGGCTGTACAACCGCACCGCAGCCTCTGCGGCGCTCCGTGCATCGATTGCGCGAGACGGGCTGCTGCACTACGAGTGCCCACTGGGCAGCAACAAC